CAGGGATTTTGCATACAACAAGCACCTGTCACGAGCTTGCTCAATCCGATTCATTTCCGCTTACATGCTATCAGTACCCGGTCTTAGCAGAAATTGAACGAGACCATTGCAATGTGGCTGCAGCGATATATGAAACTCCTACCCCAGAAGTCCCCAAAGAATTGTATGAAATGAACCTGATTTGTATATGTTAACCGTATAGGGTCTACAATTCGATATCTGCAACTCCCAGGTGTGTATGTCGCTTTCCCAACCCACTCATCGCGGTAACAAATACGCCCGGCTGGATGTAACGCTTTGATCTCCGCGCGCGTCGCCCTTCGGAGACTCGGACACGGGAGCGCGTCGCGTTTTGGTGGCGTATGCTCCCACGTGACTGATATGTCGCAACATGTCGCCATCGCTGCACCATTGCTGCTCATCCTGTATTCAAGTGAAAATGACTGAGGCAACTGTGATCGCGTCACCGCTCTCTGTTCCGCCACCCAACCATGAACATACATCTTTGCCCGCCCGAAATCCATTCATACATTTGCCAACTGGCTTGTTTAGATGACGGTCGTACCGTTCGAGCGCTCAGCCTCGTCTCGCAATACCTCCGAGAAATTTCTCGACCATTCCTATACCAATCTCTCGCCATCTCTGGTCCGAATAAAATCTCTATTCTTGCATCCAAGCTCGAGAGAACGCCTGCCCACTTACGCTCCATCCATCATCTATTTATTTCCACCCAACCGACTCCTGGCGAAAGCAACCACGAGCCAATAAAACCACCGAACACCGCTGAGTCAACTGCCATCCTGCGGATCCTCACACTTGCGGCGCCGACACTGGAGACACTATCTTTTGTGTCAACATCACCAGCCACAAGCACTCCAGCCATATCACGGCTCTTCCGTACATACTTCCCGCGATTGCGCGAGCTTTCCATATCAGGCTTTTACCCATTTCCTTCCTCTCCTGGAAGGATGCCTTCACTAGAGCGTCTGCACCTCCACGGCAATCGCAACCCTCACGGTCTGCTCCAGACGGGCGGGCTGGAGCAAACTTGCCCAGCATTAACACACATACGTGTCTCTGGCCTCAGCACGGCCGTCAGCTTTGCGCTTGAGCTCCACGAAGCTTTCTCCGGCATCGAGACGTCGCCCTTTCCTTCGAAACTACCGCCCCGCGTTCATTATGTCGCGGTCCAACCAGCGCCTCCTCTCCCACCTTCTGGGAAGCCAGCTGCGGCAAACGCACGAGACCAGCTGATGGTGGAGCAGCTCAAAGCTGCGAAATCGCCGCAGGGAGTCGTCTTCTCGCTCCTTGCTAGGACCGATACCCATATACCCGACGAGTCTTTTAGGCGAGATTGGATAGACCGGCTTGAGGGTCGCGAAGGTTGTTGGGCTACTCCTATAGCCAGCCACTGATGCCCTAAGGCATGCATATCCATTTACTGTATACCCTAGATGGCCTTATAGGAAAATTAATGGTACGGTACTTGCACATCAGGTCGCTCATATTGCTCGATGGGATCCAGACCTCTACCTGAAATGCATAGGGCGCTATAGCCAAGTGGTTACGGCGACAGATTAGAATGTTCGTCAACTATCTGTTCCTCTTTGAGGGCGCAGGTTCAAATCCTGCTGGCGTCGATCATGACTTGGAGTCTTGTTTTTTTCCAAAATGGATATCAGCAGAATATCAGTATGATACTCATTATATTGTTCTTAAACCCCTCAGATTCTAAGGCGCTATAGCTAAGCGGTTAAAGCGACAGATTAGAAATCTGTTCCTCTTTGAGGGCGCAGGTTCGAGTCCTGCTGGCGTCGATTGACCAATGCATGTTTGTTTTTATCTTTTCCTCTCCTTGACCTCATGAATGCATGCACCCTCGCAACCCGTACCGCAATACCCCCGATTTTAGAGCTTTAGCCCGCTCCTATCCGCCTCTCTCCAAGCAGTCAGTGTTCTCCATAAGCGACCTTTTCATTTGACTGGATCTCCCACAGCCTCCAAGGCGGGAGTATCGACTTTCACGATGACGCAGCCCAACGGTACGTCTACCGCGTAACTCCCATAACATACCCCGTCCTCAAGTCGACATAGGTGCTTGACGCAAGCCCTGTTGAAACGCGACTTCAACCTCGAGATCCACCTCCCGCCAGATAGACTTTGTCCTCCGGTGAGTCTTTCACCAGGTCTACTTGTCCTCTACATGGCTCACCCATCCCAGGTTCCCAATAGGTACCATGCACCCCATCCAGGTTGAGGAATGTATCTCACATCTGTGCGCAGGCTGAACTACATCCTTTGGATCCAAGATATCGTTGCCGGACTTCGGGATGCCGTTCCTCATGTCTTAGGAAGGGCTGGTAGCGGGAAGGTGGCTGTCCGTGGACTGGACATGTACGTGGCATACCTACGGCGTTGATGCATGACGATTGACCTTGAGTAGAGGAACAGGCGCGTCCGTGATCTACCCACTTCTGGCGTGTACCTGTGAGCCAACATGGACTTTTGTCGCGACAGGTGAGACCTTACTCTTTCCATCTATAAACATCTCCTGAGTTCCGCCTCTCTAGAATTAGATGAACTATCATATACTTATGCGCAAGATAACGTACGCTCTAACGGACTCTCTGATCGTATCCGACTTGTCAAGGCCAGAGCTAGTGCACCCGCATCTGAAACCGATAAGAATGTCAATGGAGACGGAGAGCTACGCTTTGGGTTTGATCAACTCCTCTATGGTACTGGACGCAAGGATGGAGACAGCGGAACCGGGTATGTGTTTATTACTCTTCCAATTCTTACATATCCTGTATTCGGTACACAGGCTTGGTTATCAACCACGCGATACCAAAATATCCATACAGACGACTACGGTCGCGCACAAGGAAAAACCGGTCCCGGAGGGAGAACCAGAACACATCGATGAAGCAGTGGAGATCCAATTCACGATGTGCAACCCACCGTTCTACAGCAGCGCGGAGGATGTCGCCCAAAGTGAGGCAAGGAAGGAACAGAGTGCCTTCGGCGTGAGTTCGCGCATCTTCCGTCACTCGCCGAAAGTCTAACCCGTGTTTATAGGTCTGCACAGGTGCGCCGGTAGAGATGATTACACCTGGCGGGGAGGCACGGTTTGTCGGTGCAATGGTGCGGGAGAGTGTTGATGGAGGTATTGCAAAGGCAGTGGCAGGCATGAGTCCTGTTAAGCGGTATCCGGAGAGAGAGAACTTGAAGCGCAGGAGAGTTCATGGAGGAAGTTCTGAGCCCGCTGATTCGAGAACGCCTCTGGAAGCGACACCCATACGACGAAAGGTGAGGAAGGAAGGGCCACGCTGGTATACTTCGATGCTAGGAAAGATGAGCTCGGTTGTTGAAATAGTGTACGTGTTGAAAGAACTCGGGGTGAGTTGTTTTTCTCTCGTGCTGCGGGCAACCTTGGAACTGAACTTCTACTCAGATTACGAACTACGCGATAACTGAGTTTGTACAAGGCCACACACGACGTTGGGCGGTGGGATGGTCAATTGGTGCATGGAGGCTAGATGACGTATGTCCTCTTTTCTCTATCCTTCTACCCTCTATATCATCCTCGGGTACGAAGTTTACATCCCATTTCACGCAGAAGGTTGCACGTATTACGAACCCCAACCCGACATTGCTGCCTCTCCTGCCCCCTCGTAACACCCTTCGATTCCCCATCGGCGGTCGCCGTGAAGGCATAAAAGAGAGGTTGCAGGGTGTGTTGAGCAGCGTAGAGGGTGCAACGGTGACCGTTCTGCAAGAATGCGAAGCCGCAACTGGTAGCGGGGACAGCGAAGACCACGCTGCAGGTGGGAACGAAGCAACACCCGTGCGCATAGAATGCAAATTGGTTGTCACTGCGACGTCCGATACTTGGTCGCGCGCTGCACGCCGGAAACGCAAGCGGAGCGAAGCTTCGGGGAACGCCATCAACGGCGATGTACCCACCACTTCCACTACTTCGAGAGAAAATCCCGACCCCGCGCTCGTGTGTGGTTTCACGATCGTGTCAGGAGATAAAGATATGGATGTGATGATGGAGGTTCGGTGGTTGTACGGATGGGACAGAATGGTGTTCGAGAGCTTCGCCAGCCATGTTGCCAAAAAAGTCAAGCTGGAAGGGGAGGATGCTGGCGGAGTGAGATGATACCTAACTGATTCTGGGAGTCTTTGCAGACATAATTACATGTACCATATTATCCCGCCCTTTACAGTACTCTGGGTAATTTCGTGTCGTCCAGAGCCAGCATATAGGTTGAGGTTTACGGTACTCTGGGTAATTTCGTGTCATCCAGAGCCAGCATATAGGTTAAAGAGTAATGAGGCTCGAGTGCGACTAAGACATCACAGTCGTCATAGCCAAGTGGTTACGGCGACAGATTTGAATCACTCATTATCTGTTCCTCTTTGAGGGCGTAGGTTCAAATCCTGCTGGCGACGATTTTTTGGCAGTCCTAGCTATCACTATAGCTAGCCGGTCATCAAGCAGCAAGCTTGTGACGGATCGGGTCCATCGGGATAATGGATTGGAAAATCCGTCTCCATTTTCCGCTATCTCTGTATGACAGGAGACGGTTTGATGGGCATCACCACCGTGTCCGCCGATGCTGAGGTCGTGGAACTGCTGGTACTGATGCAAACCCTTTCCCTACTCAGCTAGAACTCAACTAGGACTACTGGCAAAATAACATTGAATCGACGGACCATCTCGCTGCCACTACTAATCGATTCCCACTCGTTGTTACATCTGCCTGAGTAGCAGTTATGCGGGGATGAGCCAGTCTCTCATGCAAATTGGAATTGTTTTCTCGCCATCCAATGATACCATCAGAAACTACTGTTGGTCTTACAGGTCTAACGAGGCGGTATCGTTGCATAGCTCAGTTCCAGCCTGAATCAACTGAAGGCCGAGGCTATCCTTGCTTGAAGCTTCTCCTTCAGGCCTTGTTGAATGAATAGGCCAAAAAGTAGAGCAAAATATTTTCCCTCTAGCCGACTTGAACGACTGACCTCGTCATAGTTATGGTTTCTCTCGATACTAGTGACGCGCTCTACCACTGAGCTAAGAGGGATACTTACTGTGGACAGGTTATGCTCTACGTCATGTGCGTAATGCATTATATCCTGAATCGCGTTGATGCAAGGAAACATAGGCAGTAATCATGCCTGCAAGAGGTTGCTGTGGAAGTCCAGGTAACGCCCAAATTTCAGACGCTACATGGACAGATAGGTCGAAGCGAGGACTTGGAATGGTTTGGCCGTGATTGGCAGCGGGCTGCAAGATGCATCGAGATATTTGACAGTCATCTTACAATGCATCAGTCAGAACGAGCCCTGGTTGGAGAGGATATAAGTAGAGGGACTGTGGGGAGAGAAGCTAAAGATGTGGAATGCATGATATGTACGAAAGCCAGACAAAGCTGAAGATGTGAAATGTGGAGAGACCAGTCTCACCGGATGGAACGCCGACATGACATGGTCTATGACACTGGCCCTTTGACGTCTGACCACCACCACCATCATGGCTGCCCAGCGTCCACAGAGGCAGCGGCCCCCGTCGTCCTTCGATCCTGCTGCACATCCCCAGGAATATCAGCAGGAGTTCTCCCCGTACCCGCCTCAGCCCCAACCACAACCCCAGTACCAGCGCGATTCCTACTATCAACAACAGGACCCAGCGTACAATCCCGCTATCCCCACCGGTCGTTCCAGCAGGGAACTTCCCCGGCCTCCACCCCTGCCGCAGCAATCTGCAGGCTGGGAACCGGACCCAGACGACTACGATGACGAGCCAGAACAGGACGACAACGACGACTTCTTCAATGGTTCTACCAGCGGCGGTCTTGAAGCACAACCGTCGTTCCAACGGGACCTATTTCTGCCCTCCTCTCAGGCCACCAACTCAATCCGCGCCCCGTCGCCTACCGCCTCCGGGCCCATCCTTGACCACTCCCACCTGCGCCCCGGTAAACAAGCCGCCCTACTCTCGCATGAGCGCACCCTAGAACTCTATCGAGCCAACGCCAAAAAGACACAAGACCCCGACCTGCAGTTCGAGTTTGCCGTCTTCATGATCGACGCCTCCAAGTCGCTCCCCATCCCGCCCTCCACATCCGGGAACCTCATCCAGGTCGAGAAGGCCCTCGAGAAGCGCGAAGACCTTATCAGAGAAGCCACCTCCCTCCTCAAGCGCCTCGCTGACCGTGGACACCCCTCCTCGCAGTACTTCCTCGCCGACTGCTATGCAAACGGCATCGGCACCATCAAGAACAAGCAAGACTTCGACCGCGCATACCCGCTCTTCGTGCTCGCCGCGAAGCACGGCCATGCCGACGCTGCCTACCGCGCCGGGACGTGTTGCGAGAACGGCTGGGGGTGCCGTCGCGAGTCCGCCAAAGCTCTCACCTTCTACCGCAAGGCCGGCGCCGCACTACACCCCGGCGCGATGTACCGCATCGGCATCGCGGAGCTCAATGGGGAGCTTGGGCAATCGCGGAGCCCGAAGGAGGGGGTGAAGTGGCTGAAGCGCAGTGCGGAGCATGCGACGGCGGAGTTCCCGCATGCGCTGCATGAGCTGGCGTTGTTGCACGAGAGGGGAATTGAGAATGTGCTGTTTGTGGATTTTGAGTATTCGACGGAGCTGCTGGCGCAGGCGGCAGAGCTTGGGTATGCGCCGAGCGCGTATAGGCTGGGGGAGTGTTATGAGTACGGGAAGATGGGGTGTCCGCAGGATGCGGCGCTGTCGATCCATTATTATGTGCGTACAACTAAAACTCAACTCTGGTTCAGTAAACTAATATCCTGCGTATGCAGAATATCGCAGCCCAACAGAATCATCGAGACGCCTGCTTCGCCCTTACAGCATGGTACCTCGTCGGTTCGCCCGGCGTCCTTCCCCAATCAGACACCGAAGCCTTCCTATGGGCACAAAAAGCCGCAGAAGGCGGGCTCGCCAAAGCCATGTACGCCGTAGGCTACTTCCTCGAGGTGGGCATCGGCACACCAGCCAACATGCCCGAGTGAGTACCTGTTCTACACCTCCTTCCTTTCTCCCCAACTCTCGTGTCTACCCCATGTTAACCTCCGCCTCTTCTTTTCTTTTCCAGGGCGGTACAGTGGTATAAACGCGCCGTGGAAAAAGGCGATAAGCGGGCGGGGCAGCGGCTCAAGGGGGGGTCATTGAATCAGCCATTGCCTGGCGGTGCTGGGTCGGTCGTACGCCGCGGGGAGGCGGAAGCGGAGGCCGGGAAGGGTGGGAAGGATAAGGATTGCGTTATCATGTAGATGGCTCTGGCGGGTTGTAATCAGTGGGTGTGGCAGGTGGGACGTGGCAGACTGGAGCGGTGGAGGGGATGAGGCGGACGGAGCTTGTGAGGGGATGGGAACTACCGTAGACTCGGATTCGGGAGGGTTGCGACGCTGGCGGGACGGACGGACGGATGGATGGATGGAATTATACATGGACAAAGGACCCTTTCTTGTTCTGCTAACACCTCGCGCTCCCTTCTCGTTTACCCGGTACCCAGTACATGCGGGTCCTTCCTCGCTGCCCCCCTCCCCTCGCTTTGCCCCATCCCTTCAGCGGTAAGTGTAGATTCGTGCACACTGGTACCGACTCGACTCCCCTCCGACGTGTTGCATATTTTATTCACGTTAAGCTTTCGCCGACTTGTGCTATGGATATTTTACATACATAATCTAGACTCAGTAATCATCGACACTTATGGAGCGAATTTTTCCCTGTCGCTTTGGAGTAAAGGAAGGCTGGTGCTGACTGGTAGCTAGCCCTGGACTCATTTTTGGCTCGTCACGTCGGAGAGGACAGCGGTTGAGCAAGGGAGACCTTCCGCGGGCCAGTGTCCACCGTGTGGACACCAAGGTGTGTCCCCAGATGATCATCGTAAGCTCGTAAGCTCGAAATCTAATCTTATCGCCGCAGTTCTTCCCTTTGACATGACGCGAACTTCTGTTTCCAAATAAGGACTCGCAAGCAGGAAATCTACCATCCAAAAGTGCGCCATATACGGACGGTCTTCATGAGTGGTATACCATATTCCAGCTTTCAGTGTAGCGGCGCGGCGCGGAGCCATTTCAAATTCTAATCCAACTGCGTCACACACTCAATTCAATACGCATGTCTCTCTTTCCCTCAGCCTGTCCCATCCCCTCCTAATACATGTAACATGAGGTGAGCCCCACGCTCCTCCCTTCGTCGCGATACAAACCCTCTGGGTCAAAGCACGCTTCTGGTCCGCCAGATCGCCGACCCCGACGCCAAAGACCCGCACGTCATCAACAGCTACCGCGCGACGCTCGAGGCCGACGGGTCGCTCAACACCTCTCAGATCGATTTCGTGGCGCCTGATGATAGGCTCATGGTACGCTCCCCCCCGTTCCCATCATAACCCGGCTCCTCCGAACGTGCACAGATAAACCCAAACGACACGGCCCCCCACCCCCCACACGAGTTCATCACCGACCCCTCGGATCCCCTCAGCACCACACGCAGGATGATCTCCCCCCGCGCGATACGGCTGCACTCCCGCCATGTCGATGGGGAATTAACTCTGACACTTATAAGTAAGGTGTCCCTCCCCCCCCATGTGAATTTGGGAGATGACTTGTGAGGCGTTCTCGGTATAGGCCACGCGGACTTTTGCAAGTGGGAGCGCAGGCGCGACGCGGATGACTGGGACGAAACCATGCATAAGATCGTAACGTTCCCAAGGACGCTGTACCGTTGGCTCGTTGGTCCAGCTCCCTCGGACGCAATGTGAGAGTCCGCGCATCCCACGTACTGCATGCAGTGTTACTCACCCCTTAGTATTAATTACACAGCGTCCGCGTCCGTCAGGTCCGCCAAAACGTAGGGAAGCCGTGCGCGTTGGAGACTGTAAGGAGCTGGGACGTCCACCTCGAGCCCGACCTCTCCCTCGACACGTCCAAGCTCGACTCGGTAATGCCAGACGAGACCTATTGGGTAACGTCGCTTCTTTCCTTCCCACACCGCCCGGCTTTTCATTTGTGGTGGTGTAGGTGTTCCCTTCGGACTCGGGCGATGATGGGCTTGTGTGCCATGGGTTCATTTATCCGCGTCAGGAGAGTCCGATTATACCTGCGCGGAGGCTGGGGTGCTTTTATCATCGAGTTGAGGGTGTTGAGTGCGATGTTATAACGATCATTGGTATGGCCTTCTTGTTGTAAGTGTTTCGAGATACCTCGTCTGAGCCTTGAACGCAGGTGACGTTGATAAGAAAGCGATGTGGCGCCGTAAGAATGGCATGAAGGACGAGTCGGAGGACTAGGCGGAGGATGATGAGTCAAAAGCCATTCTCCTCCATTCATTAAAAACAATATTATTTGTTATCGTAGAGCTAGGGGGGCATATGTACGTATGGTATTCGTTGGTGTAGTATTGATTGTGAATACTCGTACAACGCTGCAATTGAGATACCTGAAAAGTAGTCAACGTGGTGGGGTTATGAGATTATGTGTGCGCAAGGCAGGATCGGGAGGCTAAATCGGGAACAGGAGTAGACAAGTCGTGGCTGGTAAGGGGGGACCGGAAGAAATGACGAATTGGTGGGCAGGGAATAACGATTGGAGTCGTGGCGAAGGAAGCCAGGGGGCGGTCTCGTGGTCGTGGGGGGGACTCTAAAATTACAAGTATCAAGGTCCAAATCCGGTGTACTTAAAGTATATGGGGTGTCGTGATCTAACTGAGAGAGGCAATCTTCGCATACGAAGGCTCGCGTTCATGGGCATGCGGCTCGCTAGCATCCGAGTCATCCGCATAGACGTGTTCCCAAGGCTCGTTGAAGTCAAGGTCCGGCGCCGCGCTGTCGTCGAGCACAATCACGGAGCGGATGGGTGGGACGACTTCAAAGTCGGGTTCTGGGATGGTTGAACAAAGATAAGGTCAGCACACGTGCAAGTGACATTGCTGATAAGGGTAAATAGCGTGGATAGGCAGAGATTCGGGGCAGTAGACCTTGGGGAAAACGGAATGAAATTGACATACCTCGTCCGTGCCGCGGCTTCCGTGAGATAAGCAAGTCGGCGAGTGGGACCT